CACTCTCCAGTTTCTCACAAATCGAAGTAGGTCAGGTGATGTCCATGTTAAGTCAACTATGGAACTTCCCTGGGGCCTCACGCATGTTGGTATTTCTCCCCTATTGCCAATACGAAGATCTCTCTCTGCCGCCCAGCAAGCTAGAAGGCGTCCTCTACCGTCTGTAGTAGGCGATCCCCATAGTTCTGACTTTGCATTGAAATCTCCACAGATGATAGTTTTATCCGTTTTAATTAATAATGAACGCGATAATTCGTTTAAAAGATCATTGTACTGTCTTAAGCCCAAATTAGGCGAAAAATAGACTGATATCATTAAATAAGAGCCACAGAGTACAGCCACAAAGCCAGGACCAGCACGTTCTAATTGGCATCTATATTTCATCGAGTTGGCGTTTATAAAGATAGCAGCAGCATCGTCTAAGCTCCTAAACCAATTAGCCGAGTTGGGAATATAACTAGGTTCGGAGATGAACATTACACTAGCCGAAATTTCCCTAGCCTGATGTAAGAGCAAGTCCATAGCGCCTGGACTCCTATTCACATTCGCCTGTATGAGTTTAATTGACATCCCTATTTACTGTATTACCTCCTTGAGAACCACGACCTTTTGTGTTAAAGTTAGTCCTAAGTTTGCTGACTTTGTTATCCGCTTTACAAAAATTGGAACCGAGTCTGTGGTTCGGATCCTTACCCTCTTCACTACAGAGCTTACACGCCGGGGGAGAGTTGCAGTCCCGAGCTAAATGGTTAGGTTCTCCACATTTGAAGCATAGCCCGCCAAAATCCATCTCAGACGTACATGCCAGCCTCACATGCCCAAATTTCCAGCATCTGAAGCATTGCACGGGCCTAGACTCCAGGAGATCCACTCTAGCCAGGGTCCATCCAATTTTGATCCTCTTCTTATTAGCAACCTCGATTGCCGCCTTCAGAGGGCATTGCGCCCAAATTGTAAACAGCCCATTTCTCATGGGTCTAATAGGACCAGTCTTGATATCCTCCATTCTACATCCCCCATCTTTAGCTATGACATCCAGTACTTCGTCTATGGTTACTGAGTCGTCCAATCCTATTAATCTAATTTCCCCCTTAATGGTTGGTCTTACTATCTTGGCTTGATCTTTAAAAATGTCTCTCAATTTCTCCGCCAGAGCATCTGCATTGGCGGATCCCTCAGGCCCAAGGATCTCTATGATCATGCCACCATTGGCTGCTTTCCTGATCTTGGTCGAGTCAATTTTTAGATCTCCTAGTGACACTCCTAGTCTTGCTTTATGTAGGACCTCTGCATAAGTAAGACCTTCTTTTTTGGTAGTAACAAGAATCGCAGCCGTTTTAGGTGGTCTCCTAGTTCCTAAATTGGCCTTCACTTCTTTATTCTCAGCAATTGTTTTAGTAACATTGCCTAAATTTCCCGCATTTTTCCTGGTCCCGGAGGCACGGTCAGAGTCTTGTTGATTTCTCCTGACTCTTGTCTTGCCTACTACTTTGCTCCATTCTTCTTTGCCTGCAGAATGTGAGGGTCCTGCAGTGGTGCTCAGATTTTCTGAATTATCTGAGTTCGAATTACCCATGTTGCCTTTCTTTATTCCCTCTTTATCATATCTAGGGGGAATCAGTTGAATATTTGATTTAATCCTCGGTCTAGGTCTAGGAGTCCGCTGGGGCAGTGGATTCTCCTTGTGTAGTTTAACGTCACTTCCCGTTTCAATACTTCCAAGCTTACTTTGTTTTCTTAACTCAGCCCTTCTCCTGACTAATTCCTTAATTTGCCTATTAAAGTTATCTTCTGTTTCTTTTGTTTCAGGTCCAGGTCCAGCTCTCTTTGGGATTGCAGCCGCCATCACCGGAGGATCTTCGGAGTTAGTTTCCATGTATGAAGATTCTTGTTCATCAATAGGTAAGTCCAGTACCGTTTTATTATCCTTAGCCCTGTAGGTAATATCTTTTTCTTTTTCAGATTCAACTATCAGTTCCTCTTCTTCTATTTCCTTACCCAGTGCTTTTTTTAATTTGTACTGGGTGATGCGTAGGGACGCTCTTGCCTTCCTTCTATCCTCTTCCAGCTCATCCTGCTTGTCTCTAAACTCGGAGACTTCTTTTCTGAGCTCTTCTACTATAGCTCTCATTTCTTCAAACTCTCTTTCTCTTAAAATGTCCTTCAGTTTTAATTTCTCTATCTCAGCTGTTAACTCTCTGTTTTTAATTTTTAGATATGCAGGATCCCCGGAGGCTTCGGATTTGAAGATTAGAGTGTTGATTACCTCTTTAGCTCTCTCCAGGTCTCTTCTTATCCTTCCACTTATGCCTCCTTGTAGATTTTTGCTCCTTGCCCTCATATTTTCAATTCTCTCTAAACAATCTAGGCCCAAGGCCCCCACATTAGTTGCCCCCATAATTTTCAGGTCTTGTGGGGCGAAATCCTTATTTGCTTCTTCCTCGTCCGAAGAAATAATGATTCTATTTGATTTCCTCGATCTTGTTTTCAGAGATTCTAGGGATTTTCTTCTTTCGCTCTTGGATTCCGATTCGGAACTTCTTTCGGTTTCCACAGACATGAGCGACTCCAAGGATGAGTCCCCAACGGTGGCTTCAGCTTTAGGATTAGTGGATTGAGCCCTCTTTTTCCTTGGCCGGAGTTTCCTCAGGTTAACTCCCTCTTTTTTACTACCGCCTTTTTCCTCATCACTGGGAGTGATTACATCTGGAGATGTTTTCGCTTTCCTCTTACTTTTACTACCAGGTTCCGGAGTTACCTCTTTTCCAAGGCTTCTATTTAACTCCTGCTGATGTAATATAATTCCCATAGGAGGAGAGGAGCAATCGACAAAGGTCGTCATCTCTAACGGATCTTCAAGTGTCTCGACGGTAGCATGTTTATCCTCCACTCCCGTCGGCAGTCGTGGAGAGAGCCCTTCGCTGGATGAAGACGAACGAGCCTCAGGGACCGTAGGGCTCGTCCGCCTGTCGCTGGAGGTCCGACTCTCCTGCGGCGGTAACTTTTCTTTTCCATTTAGATTCATGTCCATACTACTTAATTCTTGGTTTATTATTCGGGGTGACCTTCCCCTAGGACGACTAGCTTCACCGCGCCTGCGAGCTCGTCCTGCCCGTTCCATTGTCAAAAAGCCGTCCGTATAAAAATCGTTTGAATTATCCAATAATGTAGCCAGGGTCGTCGTATTATCTAGTTTGGAAGAGGATGGAGACCATCTACCGGAGTCCTCACACCTCTTATCTTCTGAAATATCTTCCATCCATATGCGGTCTCTTCGGTAATAGTGTTCTAGGGGAGAAGGCAATTCCCTAGGCTCTTTAAGCTCCGTAGCGGATTCCTTTCTTGCTATTGCAGATTTCAAGTTATCAATCTCATCTTGCAAGTTCTCAATTTGCTCCTCTTGTCTGTTCACTTTAGACATAATATATCTCCGAGCTAAATTTAGTTTGTTCATAGCTGTGGATAAATCATTAATGTAAGTGAGAACCGTGTCTATCACCAAGTGAATCCTCCTTCTGTTAGAAAGGGTATTATCACCACTCAGATCTAGTAATATTTCTAGTGTCTTGGTGATTTCTTCCGATGTGTCTTTGTTGGTTGAAAAGAACTCTTGACTCCCTCGGTGTATTCTTTTGTCAGAAGTCTCCAAGGTTTCCGCTTTAAATGAATCAGTGTTTTTTTCCTCTTCCTTGGTTAGCCCTACGCATGATAACGACGGGGGAGGATCAGGGTCAAGAACCCTCCTCTCGCCGAGACCTGAGGATTCCGAGTTCCTCTGGTTTGGTAAGTTCAGTTTACTTGGCTTTCTATTCATTTTATTTTAATTCATGACTGTTTGCCCTGAACGACCGTAATTCACCTAGTGAATATCCCTAGGAAATCCCGGACATAGAACGCAGTCGCTCGCCTAAACTTTACATAGTCATAGGTGTTAGTTTAACTAATCCACTTAATATACGATATAAAGTCACGCTGTCATCATTCCGATGCGATTGATCTATGTGAGTATATAAGATCGAAATAAATAAACAAATTAATTCTTCTTACACATTACGCATTAAGCATCAAACCTTAAACCTTAAATCTTAAACCCTAAACGACGGGGTGACTCAACCCCAGGCGAATGCGGTTTCGCCAAGCATCGTTATTGTTTTCTGATCTCATCAGTAACTTTATATCTAATTATAACCACCATTTTAGGTCTAGCGAAGCTCGGCCAATCAGCGTGCCGCATTTAGTTACTAGAATCTAGTCAATCAGACGTTTTCAATTATGCCCGTATCATAGGTATTGACTTCAGGCAATTTACCACAGTTTCACCCAAGGTATCACACTCCCGCCGTGGAATACAGCTGTCATCTTGGCCAGAATACAGCCAATAAGCTTATTGTATCAAGCTTACAATTAAGCTTAAGCCTAAAACCAGGCCCAAAGTTAACGCTAATCTAATATGCGCATTTCATCCAGCAGATCAGATTTACCCTATATAGTTCCTTTTATTTTGTATAGAGTAAGACAATTAATCTATCCTTCAGTGTTACTTTCTCAATCCCGGGTTCTTAAAGATACATTTATTTATTTAACCGTTATCATTCAATCCCTTCAGTCCACAGCGAACCAGATAAAATGAAGTGATGACAATAATTTAAATTTATTTACTCTAATCATTTGCTTGATTCTATCAAAGTTCAAAGCGTCACAATCAATATGATTTTATCAATATACACAAAAGACAAACAGGATCGGTCTCGATCCATTCAAAGTTACTGTTATTTATTTATGATTTTACGACTATTACCACCATATTCTGAACATACAATATATTACTTTGTGTAAATAGAATTAGAGTATGCACCTTAACTATGTACATACCTTGCAGATCCTATATCCCTGTCGAGGTGCTCCATCCGATCAATTCAATGGGGAGAAAATAAATTCGACTGTCCTTGATGACGTTCCAACCAATCAATTTAATTAGGGGGGAAAATAATATATTTAACTTCATCATGTATTTTCTTTATTTACAATTTTGTTCATAAAATTAACACCATGATAATAATGAGATACAAACAACGCAACAAGGTGCATGCAACAAGTGTATATAGATATTACCCTTCCATCACCGTATTACATAGAATACTATTTCACCCAGGATCTTATTAATTTTCAATCAGTATTTCATAAACAAAATTACTTGTTTATTCATTCCTGGTATAATTTCAATAATTTATTTTAAATTAAATTCTTTCATATTGTAGTGCAAATATCAAGACCCCCGCTAAAACAAACACGCTTTGATTTTACAATTCAATTACTTGTTGAATTAATTTAATCCAACCCAGCAATTAGTAATTTGTAAAGAGCCCGACGCCTATCAGATTTTTATTTTTATGTTACATTAAAATTGTTTAATAAATTTTCATCTCTGACATTTTACCAATTACATATTCTCAGTTAATCATTATGACTTTCATATCCTTTATAAATTAATGTCTATTACTATTTATTAAGTTCTATTTCTCTGATATGCAAATCCTCTCCAATACAATTCTTAAATTCTACCTTATCAGAGCTCCATTAGTGTGTACTTTCCTTTCACAGTTCTCGATTAATTACTATAACCTTCATATCATCGATTGATTTATTAAATCTTGTCCTTCTATTACCTATGCAAACCCTCCCTAATAGAGTTCTCCTTGCTAGAAGGTTTTAGTCTTTCCATAATTTTCAAGTCGTAAGATTTACAATATTCAAGAGTTTTCTCAACTAAGATAATTATCAGCAGATCAATTTAGAAGCTATTATTAATAATAATGTTAATAGTAGTAAACTTCCGTACAAATTCTTATTAATATTTCCACCTCTTCATGACTCAATTAGTGTTAGTTCCAAATATACACCAAGATTTGCCACTTCAAGCGATCAAAATCAACTTAACTTATCTTTAGTAAACTTCAGTTTCTGACATCTCCGTCAAATGTATAAACCTTAATTTCATATTTTCCAGTTAATCATAATGACCATCCCATCATTACGTAAATCGTCATTTACATACAATAGTTTAACAATTTCCCCATTGGTGATATAACTATCGTATCATATCATATCATTACTTATTTATTTATTCTCTCTTACTATGAAGCAGTTCCAACATGAAATTTAGCCCACTCATATCTCATACTCATAAATAAATGGTACATACAACGCATCATCCCTAATCTCAGCTGCTTTAACCCTGATGTGTACATCCAATCGAGTTGTGTATTCCTTATCAATCACTCACATTTCCAGTGCCCAGTGATACTTGCAGTCAACGAGCATGACCTAGTTAATTACTGGTCCTATGCCACGTATTCTAATATAATTAATCTCGATCAGATTCCCACAACTCGAAGGACAGGACACTTTAAGTCCTAGCAACCAACAATGTCCTGCATCTAGAGTTCCGGTACTTATATCCAACGATTCCTCCGTCAGCTATTGTTGTCCGATGCAGTAATTCTTCATCAGCAGTATATCATTATTAACAATGTGATTTATACATATTCAGTCTACATCTACCAGTACGATAGTCCTGGGAACATATTATTTATTAACGACACAATACGGAACAACATTACCTACATACTAATTATCAAACACGGTCAAAAGGATAACGACAGTGTCGGCGTAGCACCATTGTATCATTAGTTTATTGTCTAGGCCAGTGAACTCAGTCTGAGAGAGATCCCATGTAGAATATAAAATCATTATATCTAACTGCCCTGATTAATTACCTGCGAGTTCAACTATTTTCTTTCATCATCAGAATCATGACCATGACCATGACCTTGGCTGGTCTAACACCGTCGCCATAACCTTCCCACACCTTAATCGTCGTCTCCAGTTTAACAGACAGCAGCAAGCCAACACCAAAAATTATACCTGCAGACAACACTCAACCGTAAAAACCATAACTTCTTCCTTCACACCTTTATTTCAGCCGGTATACAGCATTAACCTCTGACAGCCAAGCATCCCGCAATCCTCCCACTGCCATGATTTCTCAACCGTATCTTCTTCATCCAATATATCCGTTCAACAAACAGCCCAGATATCGCTATCGAGCAGTATTTCAACACCAGTGAACTCAGAAATCACGCCGATCATACCTAGCGGATCAAAACAATGCTCGTCACTTAAGAGAGTAAACCGTCATGGCGGACCAACATGGCGGAGCAAGAGTAAGGGATAACTCCAAAAACTAAACTAAACTAAACTAACCTCCGCCCACTGTATCCGCTAATTACGCAAGACCACTAAGCTCCACAGAGTGTACGGCAAAGCTCGAACGTATTATGACATCATTAGCCTCAACAAACGGCAGATCGATCAGCTATACCATTTTAATTTCTCATAAGCTCCCGACCATACTACTTCCATCAATGAGTACCATACTCAGTACACAGCACACACGACAAACATCAGCACATCATAATAGCTCGGAAGTGCTAACATTTTTATGAAGAGAATCTCCATGACCCAAGAAATCTAGGGAATTCCCCAGATCTAGGGTTCGCAAAGGCCAATCCCAAGTGAGACCTCCATCAACTTTAGATTTTACAGTTCCGTCAGTATACTGGCCGATTTTTCGATACAATATAAGCGACATATATCAGCGCATCTCAATAACCCAGAAGACACTAGAATCATTCGCAAGAAAATTTTTCATGATCTAGGGAATTCCCAGATCCAGGGTCTTCCAGGACCAATCGCAAGCCACTATGGCATATATGCGAACCAATTTCTAATTTCTCATTTGTTAGTTAAATATATATATTATATACTCTGCGTTACCCAATCAGTATCCTCAGAGACAAAGCAATCGTCTAGTAATATTAATTTATTCGTTTCTTAGTCTGTTTCCCGCTTAACGACTTGGGATTCAAAATTATCGTCAGATTATTCATCAAATCGTTTAATTTTTATGCAACTATAATGGAAATTGTGCAATTATACACTTGTACCAAATCAGTACATTCAGATCAAATTTAAGTTAGCATGTGAATGTTCCTACAGTGACATAACTCGCCATTCTATATATTCCTTAATAGTTAACTGTCTATCATTTTTCTTAACTTCTCCCGTTCGCAACACATACCACCGAGTCGAGCAGATATTTATTCTTGTTTCTTAACTTCAAGTAATCGCTAAGCCTCTCATTCGAGGCGTTCATTCCCAATAACATTCAGTGTTCATAGATCACCTAAGAGATGTATAAGGCCTGATTAAATCGTTTCGCTCCCGTGATATCATTCCGATTACGATTCCTACGAGTGAACATTCACTCCCTGAGATTTCAATTAAGAACGACAACCACTTTAAACATTCAGCTAATTTATTTCCGTTCCTACTAAGACCTTAGTTCAACATGAAGATTCTGTGAATTCACCTTGGCTGAAAACACCATTTCAAGTTGTCGGTGATAATTACGTTCAAGAGAGTAGTTTCGTATAAGCAGGGATATTTCCCAGCTTTAGGCGCAATAATACGCAACGCATTATTGATTTCCTAATCCTTTCACACATCATTGCATTCAGTCTAAGCAGATTGCAATATTTCAAGGATTCGGTGTTCCCATTCAATTCACTTATATGTTACAACGAGATTTCCCTAAAAGCATGTTGTGAACAACATGACCAGAATACAATGCACAATTATCAATGGCGCAACAAGAAGCCCGCAGCCCAAGATTCTTTTCTATCCTTAAGACGAGTTCAGGGTTCAACCCAGTTCTAACAGTCTATATTAGATTGAGTTATTATTAAGCTGAATCAAATCAGATCAGAACAAGTCAAAACAAAACACTTCATGTTCCACGTTATTTCGTCAACACGCATACATCGGTTTTACTAGATTCAAGCTTATTTAGTATCATATTTTTCTTACTTACAATAAAATTGTATAAGATCTAATTAAATCATTTCGCCTCTATAACACAGTAACGCCGTTCCCATTACAATTCCTACGAGTGAACAATTTCACTCTCAGAGATTTCAATTAAGAACAACAATCACTTTTAAGCATTTAGCTAATTTACTTCCGCTCCTACTAAGATCTTAATTCAACATAAAGGCTTTATGAATTCACCTCGGCAGATACACCATTTCAGGTTATCAACGATAACTACATTCAAAAGAGTAGTCCGTATAAACAGGGATATTTCACATATTTAAGCACAATAGTATACAACGCATTAATAGTTTCCCAATTCTCTCACACATCATTGCATTCATCCGAACAAGTTACAAGATTTCAATGATTCGGTGTACCCGTCCAATTCAGGATATATATGTCACAGCGTAACTTTCCTAAGAGCATGTTGTGAAACAACAGCATGACCAGAATACAATGCAATACAATTACAATGTTTTATTTATAATAATAATCCCTCTCGGAGACACTCCACATGCCTCTCAACCGACAATATTAAAGAAATCTCAAGTCATTATGATACTTAGTTTTACAGTCTCTCATCAACTATGCACACATTCATTTGGCTATTTTTACTTAATCAGATTAAGCATCCTATCCTTTCGCCTCTTAACCAATATTGCCTTACGATCTAATTAATTCGTTTCCCCCCCATCTCATAATAGTACTACTCCAATTATTTTTCTTGCAATAAATAATTTCATTTTTGAAATTCTAATATTCTAAGTTTAAAAACAGCAATCGCCAATTAGCATTCAGCTAATTATTTACACTCGTGTCTAGAGACATCTATTGAGATTGGGATTTCATAATTCCCCTTCGAGAAACAGCAATTTCAATCTATCAGCAGCAGCTCCGCTCAGAGGAACTCTATAATCAAGGAAACCTCTTATCGTTTTTGACTTAACAATACACAACACTTCCTATCACTTCTTCGCACATAATTGTGTTCGATCACAGTAACCTGTAGTATCTCCAATGTTCGATACATATGACGGCTATTTGCATCCAGAGTCCCTTCCGATAACCTCCATTGATGAAGGTCAATAATTCCAGCCGCCAATGATGCGACCCATAATTCAAGATGATTTATGCGTCACATCGCAGCATTCCTGAGAACACATCACATATAACAACACAATGACAATCATCACTCTTACATCTTTATACTAAATTCCATATACTTATATTATAACAATCAGTCGGTCGAGGCAACATTAAACATTCTTAATGGCATACCTACATATATACTTCGGCTTCATTTTATTTGGCACTGTCGGCACAGTCTCTCCGCCAATTACCCATTATTAAGATCCTCACATAACAGCAACACTTAGACAAACATCTCATTTCTGAGGGGAAGAAACATACAATTAGCATTGCCAATTCAATTAAGACTTTATCCAGATAACCTCTCCCCTCACATTTAGCATTATAACCATCACCAGCAGTGTAGCCTTCTTAGTTATGCAGGCCTATACAGATGATGATATTGTTTCTCCTTCTTTCGCTGTTAATATTAATGAACTTATGGATTCAGAAACTCAAAAACTCCGCCGTACCCGAGTACACACACGGTACCTGTCAATATGGCTAATCAACATGGCGGAGTCAAGTATAGATAACGCTTCCATAATCTGAATGCCGCTGAAAAACAGCAGCCAATCAGATGAAGCCATTAGTTCCCGTATAGTATATGACGAAAATTCATGAATTATCACAGCTTTACAGTAATAATTTAAAGCATACTGCATTATGTGCGCAATTCATAATATATCAATTTTCCACTATCATTTAGTAAATTAACCAAACTACGTTAGTTAATTCAAGTTAATCTCATATATTTATTCTTCAAGCCGTACCAAGTAGGTAGTCAAGTAAACAGATTACTTCAGAATACTTAAATCATGTCAAAATGTAATTTACCTCGAAAAAGAAACAAGTAATATTATATTACACGCTATCTATTGCTTCTGTTATAAGAACAGTCATTACAGTCACTTTAGAGCTTATCAATGAATAAATAAATAACTAAAATTTAAATAGATTAGTCAATTTTAAATTAATGAATTAATGAATGCATCTCCAGCAGTCAAAGCTGTGTCAGCTGTTCCGCTTTTCCACCTACCTCCGTTTACTTAATTCCATCAAAGATTGATATGTCCACGCTGTCGATTTATAGGAATTGCTAGGAGGCTCGTACGGCCCTCACAAGGACTTCAAAAACATCCTCCCAGATCAAATTCCAGCCGCCTTTGCATCTTGTCACGACGTCACGTAACGTGACGTCACACGGCACCGCGTGGCTACAACGATCCTCTAAAATCCTTTAACATCTTCTATTTTTCACTAATATTGCCTCCACAAGTACAAATCCCAAAGGGCTTATTCTCAGCGGAAGACTCATGACGTCTATCCTTGACAACACTATTCCGATAAGCAAAATAAAGCAACAGTAAATTCGTAGAAGACGATCATCCATTTCACGTCCTTGTGACGTCATACGATACGACGTGGCTCCAAAGGCCTTCCGACATATTGAATTTTATACGCCCAAGCAAATCCGATATATTAATACTTAGATATAGTTATAAACGCTGCACAAAAGCACCTTTAGACATTAATTATTATACATATTCACGAACTTGGGAGTCGCTCCGGGGCCCAGACCAAGCCACACTCCGCATTTACTACGTCCTTAACAAAATTCTGTGTTCTCTACGACCGCCATTACGCGCACACCTCGTGGCACAATTAATATTTAGTTTAATAAAGGAACGGAGATAGATATCGACGCGAAACAAACGCCAGAATCTGTTTTGCGTGACCAATTTTTGATTTCCGTAATAAAAAAATTCAAAAAAAGCTGGAACCCCGTAACCCTGCATTTATTGTAATTTTCTCCATCTCGTGTGTTTAGTCCGGTCACAACCTAACCTGAGAGGGGGGAAAGGGACCGCGTCCTAACCGATAGGCGAGGGACCTGCTATCCTAACCGGTAGGCGTGTGGTCCGCGGAGAGGGGGGAGGTGGACCCGCGTCGAAACCGATAGGTGAGGGACCCGCGGGGAAAGGGGGACCCACGTCCTAACCGATAGGCGAGGGACCCGCGAGGAAGAGGGAACGCGATGCTGCAAGGAGGCGTAAGACAAGTATAGCGTTTGCATGCACGTTGGAGAGAGAGAGAGAGATAGCGCGAAGCATGCACGCGGATGATACGGCGTTCGCAAGGCGCAAGGCGGTGTGAGAGAGATAGCGCGAGGCATGCACGCGTGTAGGAAAAGGATAGCGTCCGCATTGGCGTGGGAAAAGGATGACGTTCGCATGCATGTGGGAGAGAGAGAGACAGCGCGAGATAGAATTTATTGAGAAATGTATTTCTCTCTTTTAATTATTGCACAAAAAATACTTTTATATTCACCGTCTATTCAATATATCACCATATATCACCAATATTCAAATATCACCATATATTCAAATAGCAACGAACAAGGGATGCCCTTGGACGACGTCCCGTCAGGTTTGCCGTCGGACAGGTTGCGCAGCGTCAGGATCACGCTGGTTCGTACGCCACTGCTTCTCTGCTTGGCTGTTGAGGAATTATCCTTAATTCCTTCTCCTTTTATGTTTCAGATTAGGGTTACGGAGTTTCAGCTTTGTCATTTTTTTATTACGGAAATCGAAAATTGGTCACGCGAAACGGATTCTGGCGTTTGTTTTGCGTCGATATCTATCTCCGTTCCTCAGTTATAGGGGTGCAAAGCGCCCCTTGCTATTTTTGGTCCGTAACTCGAAAACCGTTGACGCGGCGAGATTGGCACCCGAGGGACGTCGATCGGTCTCGCGAAGGGCTACAACTTTGGTCCCGTACTCCACCCCTCTAGGACTCCCCCTTTGGACCCTGTATACTTGGAGTCGGGTGTAGAAATTTACAAGTCTCAAGGGGTGAAACGGGACGCGAAATATTGACTAAAATTCGACAAAATTGGACTATACCAATCGCTAGAGAATCGCGTGGGACGTGTTTTGGACCTATATATTTTTTTTCATTTTCTCAAAAAATTTTTTTTTCTTTAAGTCACGAGGGTGTACGGAGTGTAAAAAATCGATCAAAATTGGACTATACCAATCGATAGAGAATCGCGTGGGATGTGTTTTGGACCTATATTTTTTAAAGAATCGCGTAAGATGTGTTTTGGATTTTTTTTTTTGGTTAGGCAAGGCAAGGCAATGTCAGATTTGGTTGAATATAAAAGTTTGGTTGAATATATTCTTTGGTTGAATATATTCATTCTTAAGCAGAGTATGTCGAGAGAAAGATTTAAGTTTTGCAGACTGTGCATATCTATTACACAGTTTTTATTCATACATAAAGGATGGGTTAAATAATTAAATTCACAGATAAATAGTAAAATAACTTACTTATTACAAGCATCGTGAAGAATATCATTTACAGCACATGTCAATAACTCGCAATCTATGAGCGATTCGCCGTTAAACATATCACTTTCACGTATCGCTTTTGCAGCGTCGCATACATTAGCGATAATATTCTGTTGTAAAACAGTTACAAATTGTTTGAATTTTTTATTAACAATATGCGTATTTTCGCATAGCCAGTAATACGTATGATCCATGCATTTTTCAAAATCTAATAAATAGAATAGGGTTGGCGGTTTCATATATCAAGAATTATTGGATAATCCTATTTTTATAATAATCGAATTAGATATTTTAACCACTTCGAATGTTAAATCTCGGACCCGCAATGGGATTTCAGTCGATTGTAGAAGCCGTTCAATGTCCCCACGTTTCTGCATCAGCGATTTCCATGTTTCAAAAGGCAATATTATTTGATTGCCCCGATTATCGCCGAGAACCAATTCCACGCAAGATACAGCTCCAACGTTTATTCCAATGTCCAAATATTTGGGTGACATCGGGGTTAAGGCGTATCGTCTTCCGAGTATACGAACCGCACAACGAGGCTCGGATGAAATGCTAGGGAGTAAAAAAGGAGGTTCAAATTCATTGGCAGCGAGAGATTAAAGAACCGCTATAAAAGGACCCGCTCGTGAGGGGCGCCGGAGACACTCGCTTACGCGTTTAGTTACCGCATATAGTTA